CTAACTTGCTAATTCAAATCTGAAATAAGGCTGAAGGTTATCTAGAAAAGCTAAAAAAGTGGTATACATCACCAAAATAAAGGCTTCTTTTACACTAAGGATCAAGTGCCTCCTGATAATTAAGTAAGCCCTATCATAGTAGTAGCCCCCAACTACTAGCATATGGTGTCAAAGTGCCTGTGAAGATTGAGTCTAAATTTTTCCACACTAGGACACTGGCAACCATGAAATGAGCTCACTACTCTTCTCGCTCTATTGCTTTCAGTTGAGGTATGCGGTATACCCACTTTTGGTTTCAGAAAATACCATGTAATGCTAACTAATGCAACTTAAATATACTGAACAAGTCTTTCTAAACTTCCCAACCCAACTATAAGATCTATTAGCATTCTCTGCCTCAAATCTGAGCAACAGAATAAACAAATTAGTGGACAAATTAAAGGCCGTAATATGAGGTGAGTCCCTAAAATACATCATTCCATCATCATCAAGATCAGAATGGATCACAGAAAATAAATTCCTTATTTACATTCCTAGATAGAGTAAAGTAAAATACAACTGATCAAACACACAGTTCTAGGTGCCTGAGAAAGCTGTTAGAAAAATGTAATAATAGACTATCCTGCAGATATAAATTATAAAATTTATTGCTCTATCACTGCTTTTTGGTGTTAATTCTCTAATAACACAATAACTCATGGGCACTTAAGGAGTTCAGATTTAGTCTATGACATAATATATGGGAATAACAAAGCAACATTTCTTATTTATTATTATTGTATGTGTTCTAGCTGCATCAAATATCTTTAAATTGCATACAGGACCAGATCAAAACAGACTCAAAGACATAAAATAACCTGCCCAAGGCCAAACAACTAGATTTCACATCTCTAAACTCTTTATTAGTCTCTAAGTTCCTAATTGTTCTCTATGCAAAAGCATGTATAAGAGAATATAGCCAAAAATATTTAAACTGAAAAGAAATTGTGTTTACTGCATTGATGTTAAAAAAAAAAAAAGGAAAATCCTACACACTCCAACAAGTTTTAGTAGTCTTGCCAAAAAAAAAAAAAAAATCAAATAGATTCCAACTAGTCTATACTTCCATTTATATTTAGAATCTGAGCTGGGCATGAGTATGTAATGAATATATATGTATGTGTCTCACTGTGTGCACAACACCCACATTATTCAAAAGCTCCCAAAATGTGGAAAGTTTGTTCCAATCTTTCTCTATTTTGTCTACTTTAAAATTTCTTTGCAATATGCTTATGTAAATACTGATTTAAGCTGCTGTTCTCATTTCTCAAAATTGTAGCTTATAAATGGATTGGAAAAGTGACAGACCTAAGCAGACATCTTTGGAACACAAAACCATAGAGATGTAAACAAATACAACTGAATCAAAAAACAAAGGCTTCTTCTTTGGCCCTTTAGCTGGCCACTACCAATATATGAAAAGAACTTAAAAAAAGACTAATATATATTGGCTGAAGACAACTGGTGTGTGTGTGAGGGTGTGTGTGTGTGTGCCCGCGCACATATATGCACATGGGCATGTCTAGTTTACTAGCATATACAATGATTGGCACATTACTCTAGTTCTCTAAAAAGTCTGTAAAAAATGTAAATCAATGAAGATTCTTAAGTTAAAGTTGGCACATAAAAAAGTATTCAGAAAAGCATTTCAAAGTTGTTAGACACAATAGGTAAGTGCCTTCAGTTTTTTTTTTATACTAGGATTCACATTATGTGTTAAGTGCATAGATAGCTCATTTACTCAGCAGCAAATTGTTTTTCATCTACATTTCAAAAACATGATGAAAGCATTAAAAATAGAGTCAAATATCACCATTCTACTTACCTGATGCTGAACCTCCATTTAAGTAAAGACGTAACAAGAAAGGGCAATTTGACAATAGATTATAAAGCACAATGTAAAGAATATGTTGGCATGAAACTATTGTTAGTTATTGTTATACTATTTTCACATTAATTGTGAAACTCACCACTGTTGAAATTAGTACCTGGACTATTTTAATATTACATTTGATATTGTTGAAGTGAAAACTGATATAGAAGATACCTTTTAATGAAGACTTGGTAATAATATTGATGGGTTTTGTTTTTGTTTGTTTTATATTAATTTTTACATAGAAGAACTTGGATATAGGCCAAAGGTACAGGGAATGACAGGATTCACCAGAAACTGAGTGGGGAGCAGAATAGCCAGATCTACAAACACTGGGAAGGGGAGCAATGGGTGAGATAGGAGAGGTCTGCTCTGCCACATGTGGATTAGCTCCCTGGCCAGGCTATCATGATTTAACAGCTCTGAGTCTTAACCGCTAGGCCACCAAGAAGGCCCAAAATCAATGGATTGTGTACTTTAGTATTATAATAATCATATTATTGGAAACATTCTAAGCAGAACATTTTTGCCATAGCCGAGAACTAAATATACATCTGGTATGGATCTTTTTTATTTAACCTATACTACAGATTGGTTTAATATAAACAAATTAATACTAAGAACAATTTTAACAAAATAAGAAAAATGTTTATACTCATCCAAAATTCTTTAATTAAAAAAATTATCTTAGTATCTTAGGTTCATAATTATGACTTTTTTAAGATTTATTTATTTATTCATATAGAGCTGGGGTACAGGCCAGAGTGCAGGGGTGGCTCTCTGCTGAGAGGCTTCACCAGAGACAGAGTGGGGAGCAGAACAGGCAGATAGATGAAGTACACTGCTGAGGGGTGCAAGAGAGCTCTGCCACACCATGTGGTCACCTCCGGGGCAGGTGGGGATCAAACTCATGCTGAAGTGGCTTTAACTTCTTAGTGTTGTGCTTTAACCCCTGCACCACCAGAGAGGGCCCAATTATGACTTGTTATTCTTAATGCATTATTAGAGAATAAAAACCATTTCTAGAGTTAGAGAGAAAACTTTTTTGGTAAAAAGCACAATAATGTCTTCAATTTTTCTACAGATAATTTCTGCTTTCAGGGTGAGCATGCTGACCAAAAAAAAAACAAAAACAAAAACAAAAACCTTGAACGTTCAGTTTAGAGGTGATCAAGGGTTAAGTTAGTGATTTTGGCCTTGTTCTGGAGAAAAAAAAGCAAGAGGGAGAATTTAGCTTTTGGATACAGAATAGATATTGGCAGTCTCCAGATTTTTCTTCCAGCATCTCAACCCACATCCAGCCTGGTGTGAAGAGATGGCAGATGGGCCTACTTCTGTTATTTCAACTGCTGAAGCAAGCTACTTCTTGTTTCTGTAAGCATTAATATTCAACCACAATAAGCAAGGATACGTATGCTTAACTGTATTAAGCATGTATCAAAAATCTTTCTTATTTTCTTCACATATCTTAAGTTAAGATAAAAAAATAGTCATCTGGAAAAATGCCAATTTTGCCAAGCTTAGAAAAGACTTATTCACCAAAATGATGCAAGTTTTCATATACTTAATGTAACTGTTTAGAGGGCAGATGAAAACTAGAATGGTTAGCATTTTGGAGGAAATTTAAACAAAACTAAACTGTATTTCCCACTTTTTTGGTTATTTTATTATGTTCTCAGAAAATGGTGGATAGACATTAGATTATTAGTGTCAATCACTCAGAATACAAGTCAGGTTATTTTGGAATCACAAAGCTTCTACACTGGCATGTAGAAACTCTTTGCAACTCTTTGATTTATATATTGAAAATAGTATTAAATACAAAATACAAAAGGATAACATCAAAACTGAAAGAAATAAAATGACAATTTCTCTGTAACTAAGAAATATGTTGATAAACCCAGAGGCATGTGACCTCACCATATTTCCCAAAGGACAGATTAATAAAATAACACACATATATTTGCTAAAATTAAAAATGTAATGATTGTTGAAAGAAATTCTAAAGGCCACTCAGACTGTGAGTAAAAGTATCTATTGAAAAGCATTTCTCCGGCGTTCCCTGGGGGCGCAGCAGGTTAAAGTACAGCACTAAGAAGCTAAAGCCACTTCAGCATGAGTTCAGCCCCCGCCTGCACTGGAGGTGACCACATGGCGTGGCAGAACTCTCCTAACCCACCCGCTGCTCCCCTCAGCAGTGTACTTCGTCTCCACCCGCTGCTCCCCTCAGCAGTATACTTCATCGATCTGCCTGTTCTGCTCCCCACTCTGTTTCTGGTGAATCTTCTCGCTTCCCCTGAGCCTCTGGCCTATAGACCCCAGATCTGTATGCACAAATAAATAAATCTATAAAAAATTTATTTGTGCATACAGAACTGGGGTACAGACCAGAGGTGCAGGGATGGTGAGAGAATTCACGAGAGACAGAGTGGGGAGCAGAACAGGCAGGTCACTGCTGAGGGGAGCAGCGGGCGGGTCAGGAGAGGTCTGCTGCGCCATGTGGTCACCTCCAGGGCAGGCGGGAACCAAACTCATGCTGAAGTGGCTTTAGCTTCTTAGTGCTGTGCTTTTAACCCGCTGCGCCACCGGGGGGGGGGGGGGGACACACACAAATAAATAAATCTTAAAAAAAAAATTTTCTCATAAAAATCAATTGATTAATTGGCCATTGACTATATATTTGAGGATGTTTTTCAAAAGATCCTAAGGATGAGTAAACACTTAAATTCACAACCTGAATTCCACCCTCCACATAACACTTCTCACTTAAAAAAAAAAAGTAGGAAATGTGGCATGGGCCAATCTGGCTTCCTTGTGTTGTGTCTCTTCACATTTCTGGGTAAGAAGGAGTCTCCTGTGTGTTGAGAACCAGACATATATCTCAGACCAACACTGTGATCCCAAGGGCCTGGAAAATTATGTATTTTTAAAATAAACAATTTTTAGTAAAAAAAGCATGGATATCAGTGTGCTCTTTAGGACAGAGGGGATTTCTTAGATGTTTTTTTCCCCACATCGTAATGAGCATACATTACAGAAATAAATCAATGCCAATGCAAGGCACATAAGAAAGTTGAGATAAACTTACGAAGTAGCCTGTTCCCAAGCTGGAAGGAGCTGAACTCTGCAATAAAGCATAAAGACAAAGTGGAAAATCAGCAATGGTTTTTAACACGTTCCAATCCACACAGCTCATTACCAGCCCTTTGCAAGCTTTTCATCACTACATCACATCACCAGAGTATGCTGCCCCTTGTCATCTGCTACTGATACAAACACCATGTTGCTTAATTTTTCCCTTTACATCTCTCAACAACTCAGAGATGCTAACGTGCTATTTACTGAATTCCAAGCTTCTGCAGTGGACGTAATTGCCAATTTATTTGACAGGCAGCTGGGTAATGAATTAATGATGGCATTTCGCCCTGCACTGAGACTAAACAGACACGCATCAGCCTGCCTCCCTGACTCGCTGACATTCAATGCCCTGGTCTCAAGCTAGTCAGTTTTGTAGCCGCAAAGGGACAGGAAGAAGAAAATGCCCAGACTGACTTGAAAATAAAAGGCCCAGTGGGTTTAGATGACTTTTCCAGTGTATGACCTACTTGCCAGTTTATTCCCTAAAGGCACCAGTTAGTACACACAAGGCACTTTTCAAAAATGAGACATTTTGTAAACATAATTAGTAGACTAAAATGCAAAGAATGTGTGGGCAAAGGGAAGCAGTGGAAAGCACCAGTTTTTTCTGAAGGTTTTAGTCACAAGAATGATCAGTTTAGGCTTCCATAGTTCTGACACAAGGGAACTAAAACAGAGTAATTCTGGAAGGTCTGTAAGGCATCTCTTCTTTGGGGAAAGTGGCCAAAAAGTTAGTTTTGTGTTTTAAACTTATCTGTGAAATATTCTTACTGCGTGTGTGTTTCTTTACTTCCTTATAGTACTTCTTTAAACATTGTTCAATATTTAGTTTTCTCTTTGTGACTAAGAGAAGTCCCAAATAAGCACTAACCCAAAAAATACTAATGCTGAGTCTATCTCCAGTTATTAGCTAAGCTTCTTTGCACCAGCAATGCCTTTTGCCCACAGGTTTGGATCTCATGTTACATCTCCCTTGGAATGGCCTGACATCTACTACTCTTCTCATTAACTATGCTGTTTTGAAGTGCCAACTACAGGTAGCAGGTTTGTCTAGACTATTCAACAGGACTTTCCTAGAGGTTAGCATAATGCTTGTATGAGGGATACAATTAATAAATATCAGTTCAGTTTAATGTGTAAATGTATGAATGGATAGATAGTATAGGAGAAAAAAAGGCTTAGGTTTAGAATCGCCAAAAGAACAGTAGATGTTGATTCTTCTTGATTTTAGAGGGAATATAGTGCTATAGGTACAAACAGCATACACATCAAGTAAGGATAGTATGCTCAGGGCATTCCTAAAGGCAACTCCCCAAGCAACACTTTCTTCATCTCAGTGTCGCAGCAGATTGCCTGGGGGAATAAAGGACAGATGCTAAAGGTATGGCCTTGCACAATGGACTATGTTTTAAAAAAACCCTTCTGCATTCCTGATCCCATAAATGGTATGTAAGGAGAACCACAGTAGTCATGGAGACAGTTTCTCATAGCACTGATTAGCCATGTGATGGCATCACCTGTTTTCAGCACCACAGCTCCCCATGAAGCAGGGAAAAGCAAAAGCCAAGTTAGGTCTCCACCAGTCTGGAGTCATGTCCCTGGGAGGTAAACTCATTTTAGGTTGAATTACTCAGAGATAATATAGGATTTGTTTATTTCATTTTCCCCCCATTCTACAAATGTATTTTCTCCCAGAAGCAGAAGTACCCCTCCAAATTCACCTCCCCACCCCCACATACATATCATCTCATTGTATACCAAAGAAAATTACATCCTTCAGGTCTTGGAATGCTCTGTTATACTCATTTTGCATATATATTGTACATTATTCAGGGAGCTAGGTGGAGAAGAGGGCTTTGTTGTGCATATTTGTTCTGGCTATTGTTTATGCAGGTCTGACTGAATGAGGGAACAGTGGGTATCATTTCAATTTCTGATGTCAACATCAAATTACTTATTTAATTTCATGCCTGGCGAAGCATTGTATAGCTACACGCAGAATCATTTCACTTCATTTGTTATGCTGTGTTTTCGTGGCGATTGGCTTGCCTTCCAACTGACAGCTTTAATTACGACATGAATTTGATTGCACTGCTGAGGAATTAACATAATGCAACAAAGCATTTAAGCACCCTGCCTTATAACACCCCTCCCCACACACACATACACAGACACAGACAGACACATGAAGGAACACAGACACTAGATTCTCACATACATTAAAGGTTCACTGGAGCTTTAGCAGTGGCTAGAAAGCATACAGAGCTACAGAGTCAGAGGCCACCCACATTTTCTAACCCATTACACTCATTTTATTGATTTTTTTAATATGAAAAGATTTGTGGTATTAAGTTGTGATTTCTGGACCTGGCAGAGAAAAAAATGTACAAAAATCCTAGTCTACTTTTCCAAATGTCCACAACACTGACATTTCCTCCCCTTTTGTTTCCATTTCCACCATATTTTTCTTGGGTGATTGATTACCATCTCCTTTCAATCATAGTTGAAAATTTGAAAGAATATTATATTACTAAAGTAAAGAAATTTCTCTTCATCCAGTCCTGCAAATCTCAGAATTTGGCTGTGACTTTGCATTCAATGTGACATTAGACCAGGTCACTACTGGGACCTCCACCATCAGAGAGAGGGACCAGAAGTTCTGAGACCAGTGACAGGGCAGGACTTGGGGTTTTGTCGATGGCTCACAGCATACCTCACATTCCTGAGGCATGACTCTCCTAAAGTTGCAGATGAATTTCAGTTATGCATGCTCATCTGAGTCTGCATATAATATAGCTGCAAATATTTGATAGCTTTAACTTTTTTCTAAGTCAGAAATCTCAGGAACATCTCAAACTACTGGCAATAAGAGATTATGCTACAAAAATGGAACACATGTTTAGAAACAGCTTTTTGTTTTAAAGATTTATTTATTTATTCATACAGAACTGGGGTACAGACCAGAAATGCGAGAGTGAGAGGATTCACCAGGAACAGAGTGGGGAGCAGAACAGGTAGATCAATGAAGTATACTGCTGAGGGGAGCAGCGGGCGGGTCAGGAGAGGTCTGCCACGCCATGTGGACTCCTCCGGGGCAGGTGGGGATGGAACTCATGTGGAACTGGTTTAAGCTTCTTTGTAATGTGCTTTAACCTGCTGCGCCACGAGGGAGGGCCAAAACAAGCTTTTTTTTTTTTTTTTAAGATTAACATACAGAACTGGGGTACAGGCCAGAGGTGAGGGGGATGAGAGGCTTCACCGGGAGTGGGGAGCGGAACAGGCAGATGTACTGAAAAACACTGCTGAGAGGAGTAGCGGGTGAGTCAGGAGAAATCTATTATGCCACGTGGCTCACTCTCCCACCGGACCCACCATCCCACCCAGCTGGGGATCGAACTTGTGTTGCAGTGGCTTCGATAGCTTCATAGTGCCATGCTTTTAACCCACTGCGCCACCAAGGAAGGTCCTAGAAACAGCTTTTTTTTTATGGTTTAAAATATGTTACGTAAGTGTTTCACTTACAGATGTGGGTGCACTTGTCTACTGGCCATGTCACCCTGAACACACATCATCACATCTGATCTTGAAAGCTAAACAGGGTCGGGCCTGGTTAGTACTTGAATGGGAGGCAAATATGGGCGCACTTAGGGAGTGGTACTGCTTTCTCATGGTATCAAGAAATAAACGCTCTAGAAAAGAGAAAGGCAATAAGCCATAAAGTTCTAGAAGAGCACACAAGTGGGAATGCCTTGCCTACTCAGTTGATGAAATCAAGTTGATTTTGACTTTAATTTCTAATGACAGAAAGTGTCATCAATTTAAGTTGTTTGGAAAAAGAAGGAAAACTGTTCAAACCAAGCAGCCCAGGTGGCCATAGACCCTAAAGGGCTTGAAAAATTAAAAGAAAGTGTTAAACAACAACAAAATGCATAAACAGAAGCATTCTTAGACTCAAAAGCTTAAAAAACACCATGACACATGTTTAGGCAAACACTTCCACTGAATAATAAAAACTGCTTCATTCTTATTTCTTCAAGTCATTCAGTTGCCAAATGATTCACACTTTTAATGTCCTAGGTAGAAATGAGAGGTATAGCAAGCTAAGAAAATAGAAGAGGATAAAATGTTTAGCAGTTTGCATGAGAAGACAGGGCATGAGAAAATGCCAGCCAGCTGGTTATGTGACATGTGGTTTCCAGGCTCATTATAAGCCATCTCTTGTTTAACATAGTCTTTTTATTCTGTTGCTTTTTTTGCAGATATGACCACTGCTCCAGCAATCTCTGCAAATTACCTACCTTGGTCTCATTATGTTGCAAAGGAGAACTTTCTTACAAACACACTCTGCCTCAATCTCCAAGCCACCATGGGCTGCAGGAATAGTAATGGGATGCACAGTTGAAAGACATTTTCCAGGAGGGAGACTGTTGCTGCTGACATTCATGTTTGCAATTGGATACTCATTAAATGTTCCATTCTACTCTTTCTCATTGCCCCCCACCTGACTTTCTTTCCATCTCTGTCACTAAGCTATCATTGAAGCTACTCATTAAACTCATGAAGTTAACATTTGTTTTAAAAGCTCACCTTACAACAAGGGATTTCAAAATTGATTATCTATCTAAAACGCATGTGCTCCATCCATTAGCGATGTACACAGAGAGTTCACAGACACTATTGCAGCTCTCCAGGATGGCATGGATGGGTACTCTGCCCCTAGATAAGGATGCATGCTCTGACTCAAGGGTTAATTCAAATGAAATATTTAATTTTTTTGCAAATCATCAACTGTGTCTGAAATCTCTGCCTAATTACCTCCAAGTTATGCTTTTCCCATGTGGGAGTAAAAACAGAAGAACCACCTATGTATCTCATAACCAAAGCAAGGTTCTTATGAAGGTTACAAAACAAGCACACTTACAGATTTTCTGTAATTAAAAAGCAATAAATAAAAGCTTATAAATAAAAGCAATAAATAAAACCTAA